ACATAGCATTTGCTTCCGTGTTCTGTATGCCCCTCTACCTGCTTAATAAGGCAATGTATCTTCAAATAAAACCTTAGCCAAGTAGATAAGGGTCTCTGGAACACTTTTGTATATAGTTTTCACGGCTTTGTATAAAAAACCTCCTACCTCATACCCACCTACCCACCTACGTGGAATATGATACAGTCATTGAAGGGTTCAATTTTAATGATTATTAAATCTCAAAATAGCTCAAAGTATTAACATTTCTACAATTCCGGCTTTGTTTTATACAGACAGATGACAGATCCATAAATAAAGGCATGTGGATGCATTTTAATGTTGACCCGAGCGCGCCCCGGGGGAATAAATAACTAACGACCGCGACCATAGGTCCAACAAGCCAGATAAAGAAATTTAAAGAAAGTGTGCTAAATTCGATGCTCCGAGTGGGAATCGAACCCAGCTGGGATGTAGTAGCAACTTGCTATCAAGGATCGTTACAAATGCTTCTATAATTCGTCATAAACTAAGATTTAATAGGCTAAGATTACTTCGGTCCAAAGCCTTCTCTATATTCCGGCTTTGAGGAGGAAGATTGAGCTGCCTTAGTATTATAAATAGTGTAAATCATTGTGTCACACGCACAGTAAATATGGCATAATAATATGAAATATACCTTTATGTATAGATTTGAAGAACATCAGCTCACATCCCCGTCTGAATCTATTGTTATATTTGATTTCTTAAAGCGAGAATAATTTCAAATGTTATTCACGTCCAGAACCGGAAGCCATTTTTAGCTGCAGCGAGAAAATTTCACCTTGTGTCAAACTCCGAAATGAAATTTTGAAATATCTAAATCCAGACAAGCAACGCTTCATCCTAAATATGATTAATATTCTTAAAAATATTTATAAAATTTATTAAAAATGAGTTCTAGGTGCGTGTAGGTGCGTGTAGCACAGTACATACGAAATCAATGAAGTTTCGTCTAGCTGTAAGCTAGAGACTCGAGTAAGGCTAAGATCTTTAAAATTGAACCCTTCAAAGACTGTATTATGTCCCACGTACGTGGGTAGGTGGGTATGAGGTAGGAGGTTTTTTATACAAAGCCAGTTTTCACAAGCTATTTTATTCCCGGACACCCAAACGTGTCAGGAACACATATATATTTGAATGATCTTGATTGGACATCAGGTTGCAGAGAAATCGTATTTTTACTGAGTGGATTATTGAATTTCATAGATCTAGAGGCCCTTCAGGAGTGGAAAACCTGAAATTATCAGAGATTAATGTTTCCAAACAGTTTTGAAACAAACTAACGTCTTGTTTCCAACCTACACCTTGCTCCTTTCTGTCGTATTTAATAAAACAAAAATAGTATATCACGGAGGGATACGAACCACTCACCTGGGACTTGGTTATTCACTAGCGCCATAGGCGTTCTACTATTCTCGATACAACTGACGAGTCGTATTTAAGTGAGGATCATTTTGAATTGACGCTCGGTATAAATATATAATACTTTTGTTCTTTCATATCGGTAGCTCGTTGGCCTCATGGTTAGCGTGCCTGGCTTCCATGTCTAGGTTAGTTGATCGAGACCCGTTCATGTCGAACTTTTTGATTTGCTTGTTGTCAAGAAAAAGTAGATCAAAAATACTCCAAAAGAGTATAAAATTGTCACCAGGATTCCGGAATGAGACGAATGTTAACTCGTGAAATCTCGGTAGATAAAGTAGGTCAGAAAATCCGGATTAATCCGAACAAGGTTCGGGAATTTCCGTCATAAGAAGTAGGTCAAAAATACTCCAATGGAGTATAGAATTGTCACCAGGATTCCGAAATACGACGAATCGAATCGGAAAACTTCGGTACAATAATGAAGTGCATAAAAACCGAAATGATCCGAACAACGTTCGGATAAAATCGTGAAACAGGTGTCAGGGGCTTCCCCTCATCTTTCCATACATGGTTCTAAAAGCCTTATATGGATCTATCACGTGACATTCAAAATGACGTTCCTATATGGTTCTATGGGCTTTATATGGATCTTTCGAACACGTGACCTAATACCAAATCAGAATCAAAATTTTACCTTGACCATTGGATGGGATTTCATAGAAAATATCAAAGAAAACATATCCTCGTGATCCTAAATCACTTAAATTCGATCATTTTATCTTCACCCCTTGATGGAATTTTATGAAAGAAGTTATGAAAACACATCATTATGTAAGGGTTTTCACCTAAATTAGCTCGTTTTATCTTGACCCTTGAATTGAATTTCATTGAAAAATGTTTAATGAAAAATATCATCATGTTATGATTTGTATCTAAATAAGACCGTTTCATCTAAATACTTGCTGGATAATATTTTATAAAAAATGCACTTTAAAAATATTTCAGGATTTGCCTTAATTTATCAATGTAATGTAAGTATTAGATTGACTCTCAAATAGGGTTCTATTTTAACTTTTTTATTGAAATTAATACTAGGCAGGACTCACTCTCTAAATAGCTAATAAAAATTCAACCCTTGGATGTGATTTCGTTGAAAAAAAATATGACAAGTCCAGAATCAAATTATTTGTCCAGAACCTCTTAAGATCCTGTTATAAGACCTCCCTCTAAAACAATCGAGACTATAAGCCCATCAATGCAGGTAATAATTGAGATATGACCTGCAAGGGTTCCATATTTCAGATTTATTCGTCTTATTGTTTTGTAATTGTTTGAAGTTTGAATAAAAAATGCAGTCTTATGTCGAGGGAAGAGGGTGAGGGATAAATTTTTCATTCACACAAGAGTTTGTATACCTTAAAAACCTGTATGCTAAATAATTGATGCATCATCCTCTCGAACCATTTTGTAACATTATTAGTTTCCCTGAATTGTACATTTGAATTCATATTTATTATATAGAAATACATATCACGGGTAGTATCTAAAGCCCCGCTATGATTGAAAAGTCGCGAGCAAGTTCCCACTGAAATCGCGAGCATAGTCCTGTTTATTTGTATCACTTTGGAAAATGAACCAAAAGGATGAAAATACTTATTACCGTTCTTTGATATTCCAGCAAAACTTAGAAAACAGATATATTTGACAAAAAATGACATGAAAAATGATTATTTTTTACTTGCATGAAGGAAAGGGGCGTCAACATGCACGTTTGCACAATTTACTGTTCATATATTACCTTTATCGTTAAAATAAAGGCAATAAATACGATTTACATACTCCATAATAAATATCAGATCAAGATGGTCTGTATTGAAAAGTTACTGGACAATGACACCTGCCATGGGGGTCGAAATACATTATTAAAGGTGTTCCAGTGGCCCCGCTGAAAACATGAGGAGGCCCCGCTGAAAACATGAGGAGACCCCGCTGAAAACACGAGCAAATTCCACAACTACCCGCTTCGATCACGAGGAAAGCTTCATCAATATTCCATGAATATAGTGAGCTTCTTTATATGAACGTATACGATAACGTTTTAATGACAATCACATAACATATCATTCTATGACAACATCACAAATATTTCTTCTTCAACTTCAGGCAGTCTAATCCATCTGTCAGCGGCATGATCGAATTTTTATATGTAAATAGACATTGTACATTTCGGAGTTAAATGTACATTCTACATAATTCACTATTCCAAGGATTATACTTCTGAGGACACATATATTTCATTGGTTTCTTTGTCCGACCGTTCATTCGTGCGTGCATTCGACCGACCGTTCGTTCGTGCGTGCGTTCATCTGACCGTGCGTTCGTCCGACGGTCCGTTCATTCATGCGTGCGTTCATCCGACCGATTGTTCGTTCGTGCGTGCATCGCCCAACCATGCGTTCGTGATAGCGTTCGTCCGACCGTCCATTCGTTCGTTCGTGCGTGCATCCGTTCGTGCGATTGTTCGTCCGTTTGTGTGCGCATGCGTTCGTCTGACCGTCCGTTTGTGCTTGCTTTCGTCTGACTGCCCTTCATAGGTTCATGGGTTCGTCCGTCTAGGCGTCCGTTCGTCCGTGCGTGCTTTCGTTCAACCGTCCATTCATGTGTGCGTTCGTCTGTTCGTTCTTTTTGCGTTCGTTTGTATGTTCGTTCCTGCGTGCGTTCATTCGTGCGTTTGTTTGTAACTACGTTCTTGCGTGCATGGGTTCGATCTTTTGTAAATTGTTTTCTTCTATCTTTCCTTCATGCGTTCTTTTGGCCCCCTATCCGTCCGTTTGTTCATTCATTGTTTTTTCGGCTCTTCTTCTGTCCATCCGTGCATTCTTTCCTCGTTCGTTTGTTCGTTTGCAGGTTTTCATCAAAATTTGTCTTTCCACTGCCATATGAAAGAATATAAATAATCAAGAAAGCAAGCAAGGACGTGAGGAAGTAAACAAGCAACAAAGTAAGTAATTGAGTAAGCAAGTAAAGAAGGAATGGAGGAAGTAAATCGAGGAAGTGAAGGTGGGAATAATATAAGTTAGCAAGGAAGGAAAAAGGAAGGAAGGAGGGAAGGAAAGAAGCAATGAAGGAAGCAAGGAAACGAGAAAGCGAGGGGGGAAGAAAGCGAGGAAGCAAGCAAGGAAGCAACTGAGGAAGAAAGGAAGGAACTGAGGGAGCAAGAAAGGAACGATGCGAGTTAAGAATTAAGCAGGGAAGCTAGCAAGTAAGGAAGCGAGGAAGAAAGGAAGCCAGGAAGCAAAGAAGGAAGGAAACGAGAAAGCAAGGAAGGAAGGAAGGAAGCAAGCAAAGACGCAAAGAAAGGAAGGAAAAAGCAAGGAAGTAAGGAAGGAAGGAAGAAGGCGAGAATGCAAGGAAGCAAGGAGAGAAGAAAACAATGAAGAAATGAAGCGAGAAAAGAAGGACACGAGGAAAGAATAAAGGAAACGAGGAAGCAAGGAAGGAGTAAAGGAAGAAGTGAGGAAGGAAGGAAGCAAGGAAGGAAAGAGGGAAGTGAGGAAGGAAAGAAGCGATGAAGCAAGGAAAGATGGAAGCGAGGAAGCAATGAAGGAGGAAAGATGGAAGCGAGGAAGCAAGAAAGGAATGGAGCGAGAAAGGAAGGAGGCGAGGAAAAAAACGAAAGAAGCGAGGAAGCAAGGGATGAGGAAAGAAGGAAGCGAGGAAGGATGGAAAGAAGAAAGCGAGGAAGCAAGGAAGAAAGCGAGGAAGCATGGAAGGAGGGAATGAAGCAAGGAAGGAAGGAAGAAAGGAAGGAAGTGAGGAAGAAATTTGTGAAGGAAGCGAGGAAGCAAAGAAGGGGGAAAGAAGGGAGCGAGGAAGGAAAAAAGCAAGGAAGGAAGGAGGGAAACGAGGAAAGAAGGAAGCGAGGAAGCAAGGAAGGAATGAAGCGAGGAAGGAATGAAGCGAGGAAGCAAGGTAGGAAGGAAGTGAGGAAGGAAAGATTGCGAGGAAGGAAGTACGCGAGGAAGCAAAGAAGGAAGGAAGCAAGGAAGGAAACGAGAAAGCGATGAGGAAAGAAAGCGAGGAAGCAAGGAAGGAAGGAACTGAGGAAGAAAGAAAGGACGGAAGCGAAGGAACAAGGAAGGAACGATTCGAGGAAGCAAGGAAGGAAGGAACTGAGGAAGCAAGGAAGGAAGCAAGGAAGGGAACGAGGAAGAAAGGAAGCCAGGAAGCAAAGAAGGAAGGAAACGATGAATCAAGGAAGGAAGGAAGCAAGCAAAGACGCAAGAAAGGAAAGAAGGAAAAAGCAAGGAAGGAAGTAAGTAAGGAAAGAAAGAAGAAGGCGAGAAAGCAAGGAAGCAAGGAGGGAAGGAGGGAATGAAGCGACAAAAGAACAACGTGAGGAAAGAATGAATGAAACGAGGAAGCAAGGAAGGAGGAAAGGAGGAAGGGAGGAAGCAAGGAAAGGAGGATGCAAGTGAGGAAGGAAGGAATCAAGGAAGCAAGGAAAGAAGAAAGCGAGGAAGCAAGGAAGGAGGAGAGAAGGAAGCGAGGGACGAAGCGAGGAAGCAAGGAAGGAATGAAGCGAAAAAGGAAGGACGCGAGGAAAAAACGAAGAAATCGAGGATGCAAGGAAGGAGGAAAAAGGAAGCGAGGAAGGAAGGAAGCAAGAAATGAAGGAGGGAAGTGAGGAAGGAAGGAAGCGACAGGGAAGGAAAGAAGGAAGCAAGGAAAAAAGCAAGGAAGGAAGCGAGGAAGCATGGAAGGAAGGCATGAAGCAAGGAAGGAAGGAGGAAAGGAAGTGAGGAAGAAATTTATGAAGAAAGCGAGGAAACAAAGAAGGAGGAAAGAAAGGAGCGAGGTAGGATAAAAGCAAGGAAGGAAGGAAGGAAGTGAGGAAGGAAGGAAGCGAGGAAGCAAGGAGGGAAGGAAGCGAGGAAGCAAGGTAGGAAGGATGAGGAAGGAAATATGCAAGGACGGAAGGAAGCGAGGAAGCAAGGAAGGAAGGAAGGAAGCAAGAAAAGAAGAGGCGAGGGAGGAAGGAAGCGAGGAGGGAAGGAAGCGAGGAAGCAAGGTGGGAAGCAAGCGAGGAAGGAAAGATGCGAGGAAGGAAGGAAGCAAAGAAGGAAGGAAGCAAGAAAAGAAGAGGCGAGGAAGAAAGGAAGGTAGGAAGCGAGAAAGGAAAGAAGCAAGGAAGGAAGGAAGCGAGGAAGGAAAGAAGCGAGGAAGCAAGGAAGGAAGGAAGCCAGGAAGGAAGGAAGCAAGGAAGGAAGGAAACGAGGAAGGAAAGAAGCGAGGAAGCAAGGAAGGAAGGAAGCCAGGAAGAAAGGAAGCGAGGAAGCAAGGAGGGGAAAAAGCAAGGAAGGGAGGAAGCAAGGAAAGGAGGAAGCAAGGAAGGAAAGAAGCAAGGAAGGAAGGAAGCCAGGAAGGAAGGAAGCGAGGAAGCAAGGAAGGAAGGAAGCCAGGAAGAAAGGAAGCGAGGAAGCAAGGAGGGAAAGAAGCAAGGAAGGAAGCAAGGAAGAAGGAAGGAAGCAAGGAAAGGAGGAAGCAAGGAAGGAAGGATGCGAGGAAGGAAGTAAGCGAGGAAGAAAGGAAGGAAGGAAGGAAGCAAGGAAGGAACGAAGCGAGGAAGGAAGGATGCAAGGAAGCGAAGAAGGTAGGAAGTGAGGAAGCAAGGAAGGGAGGAAACAAGGAAGGGAGGGAGGATGCAAGAAAGGAAGGAAGAAAGCAAGGATGGAAGGAAGGAAGCGAGGAAGGAAGGATGGAAGAATGCGAGGAAGCAAGGAAGCGAGGAAGGAAGGAAGCGAGGAAGGAAGCGAGGAAGGAAGGGAGGAGGGAAGCAAGGAAGGAAGCAAGAAAGAAAGGAAGCGAAAGAATGAAGTGAGGAAGCAAGGAAGCAATGAAGCAAGGAAGCAAAGAAGGAAGGAAGCGAGGATGGAAGGAAGCAAGGATGGAAGGAAGCGAGGAAGGAAGGATGTGAGGAAGCGAGGAAGGAAGCCAGGAAGCAAGGAAGGAAGGATGCGAAGAAGCAAGGAAGAGAGAAAGCGAGCAAGCAAGTAAGCAACAGGAGATTGATATAGGAATAATATTCATAAACATTATTCTGACTAAATCATTTTAGGTTGACCTAAACGCACGCTTATTCGTGTATCTTACTGAATATCGACTTGTACTCAAAGATGGAACAGAGGGGACAGTTGCAATACAGAGAATACAGAATATTTCCTATGGACTATGTAGCAAGATCACACGATAAAAAACGTTATACAACGATGTGAAGCGCAACATAGGATATATTTTTTAGCACAATATATCCTATATAGCACTTCAAATCATTCAATAACTTATATTACTTCAAATTATGAAAATGAGGTTAAATGTTTAACATTTCGTCCGATCTAATACTCATCACATTTCTCAGATGATCTTTCTTATTCTGTAAAATGGCATGGAAATATGATACTGCAGTTTTCCATAACAACGTATCATAATATGAACTATATTAAACAGTTGTATTTACTGTTATTGAGAATTGTATTGACAAAGAATGTATTCATCAAACTGGGTACAATAGTGGATTAAGGTGGGTACGAAAGTGGGAGATTTTCAGGGTATAATCGGGATTCACTCCATTTTTGAGAGATACTTGCTCGTGTTTTCAGCGGGACCTCCTCATGTTTTCAGCGGGGCCTCCTCCTGATTTCAGCGGGACCTTTGCTTTATTGCTCCTGCTAGAAGCGGGGCCTTGAGGGATATGATAAAATTTAAATATAAAATGTTCTGTAAAGCTTTAGGAAGTGAAACTCGGTACATCTTTATTTCATATCACTATCGTTATTTCAACCACAGGACAACATCGTTCTTCACCAATAACGTATAGAAATATATAGATAAAGATTCAAAATGATACTTTTTCTGTTCAATTGACAAATAACGAACCACAGAACGACCGCTTGTGATACATTTTTTCCAGCAGTTGCTTTTTAGTCTCAATACCATGTAATCATTGGGAAAAATTAAAAGAAAATGTTTTGTAAATTATACAATTCAAGAACACAAAAAAGAACCCATGACTTCTTTTTATTCCTCGCGATTTCAGCGGGAACTTGCTCGCGATTTTTAAATTATAGCGGGGCTTTAGATACTACCCGTGCATATCGTACGTACGTTACAAATCTGGGCATTCTTCTTCCCCTTCGCCGGCCTTGTAGTCTCTGTTACAATTATATGTTTCGAATCAATAGATTCCTTGACCCATACAATCACCAGACCACTTCGGACGCCTAAAATATAATGGTGACATGAAATTAATCAAATGAGCAGTATAAGCACAGCAACAAAAAGATCGAAGCCTCTGGGTCTGGATCAAATACCGCATTTTTTAGTTTAAAAATCTCTAGAATTGGTGAAGTTAAATCGTTACCTTTTTCACCACTCCAACCCGCCGCCTTACAATCTTTGTACTCTCCCCATGTGTCAAATTCCTGGCATGTGCCGTCTGGTAGCATTTTGGCGCATGTACTTGCCGGAAGTAGACAAGGTTGGACATAGTCGTATGTGAAATTAAAAGGTATTTTGATTTTAATTAACGCAATATCCATTTCATCATTTTCCGGCAAATGTTTGTAGTCTTTGTGCAGTATACCCCTTTCTACACTCCTTGTTTGGACGATGTTTTGGTCTTTATTTAATACGTTTCGTGTACCTGCTGTTACTATCCATTCACTCATATCACATCTTTAATATTTATAATGACGGAGCATGCATATTTAGAATTATTGCAAGAACTGATGAATCAACATCATTTATTGTAAAAATGTGTCATATCGAAAATATTACAAAATATTACTTTAATAGTAGGTTGGATCTCTAGTTTATTTGGTGAAATAACTAAAATGTTACATCAGTTCGAGTTAGAGAACCCGTGGGCTAGTGCATTGCATAATATATAATAAATGTGTCTCCTGGGTATCACGAAATAGGACAATGAGCCCACGCGTTGCAAATGACAAGCTCGCACGTGTTAAACAAAAGCAGTTATGCCTAGGTCATATAGGCGCCGGCCGATGAGTAGTCATCGACCGATGTGTAATGCCTAGGTCACATATGCGCCGATCCATCGGCCGGCGCCCGACCGATTGGGTGTTATGTTCAATATTGTATTCAATTTCGAACAAAATACTCAATCGGCCGGGCGTCGGTGAATTTTCACCGATGTCTTGATCTAATCGTGAGTGTGGTCACATTAGAACAGGCACAGTATTGCGCCCGCAATCTGAAAGACATCGCACGGGTATCGCAAGGCTATCTGCCGATGGCCGTACGGCACCCGCCAGGACATCGGTCGATCTATAGGCCTCTAGATTTATACTAAATCCCTGTATGACCCAATATATGACTGTTCCACATGGCGTGAATGCAACCTTTGAAAACGAAATAGTTTGATAGACACTCAGAAGGTTTTTAAAACAAATGATTTGTAATGGTATATGCATGAGTGAATATAGGCATAAAAATGTATCACTCTATTTAATGTGTATGTCAGACATACACTATTAATGTCAATATAAGCTAAGAATGACTAGATCAACTCACCCGCCCAACTATTCAATTGTGTGTCATTGTTTTCCAGTAAGCTTAATCGTTCCATTTGTGTTTTATAGAAAATGTCTGTGTAGCAATTATAATTCCTTACCTCATTATTTTTAAAACCTTTATATCACTTTATAAGTAATCATTATTAAGATTTATCAAACAAATCAGTACGCAAAATCCCAAGATGACCGTGCAATGCCACCAGGCGCCGCAAGATAAAAAAATCGTACGATGACCGGACGGGACACAGCCGGGTAGGTTCCGATGAGTTTGGTTGAGAAAAATTGCCAAGACATCGGCAACTTTTATCTCCGCGATAAAACTCTGCCGGGGCCCGTACGATGTCTAAAAATTGCCCGATGATGGGCGATCATCGCCCAGCGTCCGTTCGATGGCCGGGCTCGCCGGCCGATTTTGTACAAAATACTCATCGGCCAGGCGCCGTGGTGAAAATCGGAGCCTATGTGACCAAGGCATAATTACGATGTATCAAACTTGTCGGGTAACAGCGTATATCAATTGCGCCGGCTTCTTGCTAGTGCACCACAGGATTTGGATTGCAATAAACCGTGATGTCCTTCAAAACAATTATGTGAGTGTTAGTGCGCTCGGATGAGTTTTTTATTGTTGAAAACATACAACCATGTAATTTGCGCTACGGGGCTTTTTGTTCTTTTTTGATACCTGGGGGAAATCTCACTACCTATTACTCAATGCACCATCGCCGCTGGGAATTCAAAAACGCTGTTCGTACGTACTCCTTATCCGGGTTACAACAGTCATCGTTTTCATCTGGACACATACAGTGGCCCGCCGTCATTATCCATCTATCGCTCAGAATAACTCCAGAGCAAAAATGTTCCCTTTTATCATCAGATAGTGAAACGACCCAAGAGAAAGGGGCTCGTTCTTCAGGCGTGTATCTAATAAACAAAAAAAGATAAATAAAACTTTTGGTCTGGACCCAGAAGAAGTGAGATACTCCCATGGGTATTAAGTATTACATGTATTTGATGTTAGGCTCTTCCCCTGAACTTTCCCTAAATATGGTCCTACGTATTACATGATATTCAAAATGGCGGACAACAGTACGTTGGATTCCTAAATGGTCCTACAAGCCTTGTATCTATTGCATGATATTCAAAATGGCGGACAATAGTAAGTTGGATTCCTAAATGGTCCTACAAGCCTTGTATCTATTGCATGATATTCAAAATGGCGAACAATAGTAAGTTGGATTCCTAAATGGTCCTACAAGCCTTGTATCTATTACATGATATTCAAAATGGCGAACAACAGTACGTTGGATTCCTAAATGGTCCTACAAGCCTTGTATCTATTGCATGATATTCAAAATGGCGAACAATAGTAAGTTGGATTCCTAAATGGTCCTACAAGCCTTGTATCTATTGCATGATATTCAAAATGGCGAACAATAGTAAGTTGGATTCCTAAATGGTCCTACAAGCCTTGTATCTATTACATGATATTCAAAATGGCGGACAACAGTACGTTGGATTCCTAAATGGTCCTACAAGCCTTGTATCTATTACATGATATTCAAAATGGCGGACAATAGTAAGTTGGATTCCTAAATGGTCCTACAAGCCTCATTTGTATCTATTACATGATATTTAAAATGGCGGACAACAGTAAGTTGGACTCCTATATGGTCCTGCTTTATATGGATCTATCACATGGGAGATTAGTTCAACAAGTTAAACCCAATACCACGGCTTTCATTTATTAATCTGAATGTTCTTGTTGCCGTGATTGGGTTTAACTTCCGTGGTATGCTTTCATTTGTTGCAAATTCTCAGTATCAGTTATTAATTAAACGCGCATGAAATTACATGCGCTGCCATAGACCACCATTGAATATTTTGCATCAAGGGCTGAATAGGCACGGAAGTTAAACCTAGGGCGGGCCACAAGATATGTCAGATGGGAAATAAGGCCCAGACTAGGTTTAACTTGTTGAACTAATGGGAGATACGCGACCCAATACAAACTCTGTATTTTGGGAGATTCCCCCACTCCTACTCTGGACCATTTCACTGGAATAACCCCTTCAAATAAGCCTTGCGCGCCGCCTATGGCACAAAACAGAAACTGTAATATATTTAGCTGATTGGTGATGTCATTTTACTTTTTTAAAAGTAGCAATGAGATTATCCTGTTTTTGCTGGACTGATTGCTTGAGACAAGCAATGAAATCATCCATCAAGTCAATATATCCTAGCTTCTTTGATGTACCAGAAGGTGGAAATGTTCTTCTGAGCTTTGTTGAATCGGCTGCTAAAGTGATTAAGACGTCAGTAGACACCACGAAAGAAATAAGAATTCCATATATCCTCCATTTGCTCTACACCAAAGAAAACATGATGATACATAGGCTTATATTAACTATAAAACGTGATCGCCTATAGATATACTAGCTAGATATATATGGTGGGATATGAACATTACGGTAATGAATTGTTGTCTATATTAAGAATATCACATATTATGGACGTATAGATCTCCCGCAATAAATGATAAACGTAAGTAGTTGTCATTTAGAGAGTTTCAAATATCTTTAACACGTATCCCTATGGAAGGGGGTTCATCGATGTGTAGGGGGTGCAAAACGGGTATTCCCCATTTTTCATCTACTGCGTCATTCAGGGAATTCCCACCTAGAAAACAGGGTAATCCCCTTTTATTAAACCAGTCCTATAGGACTCGAATTCCACACCCCCGCAAACGTAAGGTCGACGTCCGGATTGACATCGAGGTTGACTTTTCCAGAAGCCAGACATTATCCAATGTTCCAGGACTATAACGTTGGTAGGTCGTAGTATGATAACAAGCCATACAATTGTCATTTCTTTACAAATAGCAGGATGATTTTAGATTGATTTAGGAGAGCCATCGGATATATCGATTGAAATAAGTTGAAGTGTAAGTATTTATTACTCAAAATTGTTCAATAAATTAAACTTTAACATATTTAACTAGGGGTCAATTCGGTATAATCCTAAACAGAAAGAGTCCATTTCGTTTCGCTCAAGGGTATTCCCCGTTTTCATCAACTACGTCATCGATGGAATTTCCGAACGTTTTCGTGCCGTCAGAGTTGATACCAACGTTTTTCGAACATTTAGACGATTTCAGAACGTTTCAACGTTGCCTCATCGATGAGATTTCCCTCAACATCCGGTTAAAACTGGTTGAAATCGTATAGACTGTATGATCAAAATGTTCTATAAATTTAACTTACCGGGTCGTGCTATATCTAACATGATCCTTAAATACTGTTCATTTTAAGAGTCCATTTTTTTTTGTTATACATATTCACAACTAGTTCATAGTTCAACGTGAGAGAGGTTTACACTGTATTTTTGTTTAACCGAGGTGCAAGTGAAATTGTAACAGTTGTTTATTATTCAATAGTATTGTTTTACACAGCGGTATTTAGCGCCATTCTATTGTGGTATAACCATGATCTAGCTAATTTTTAGGATTAAAATCTTGCCTGCGGTCAAAAAAGCATGTACAAAAATACGCCCTCAATATCGTTTGACTTAATGTTCTACAGAAGCTCATATATAGTTATCAGCTGTCATGTAATTCAGTCTAGCCTTACCAAACTTTGACCTGTAACACGATGATGCTTATGATGCTTCGAGGGCAAGCGAGTTAATCTTATAATTGGTAAGCAGTATTTTTTATGTTAAGAACGCTGTGTTGTTTTGTTTTAGTGGTTTATAAACAAAGTGAAGTGTGGCTTACTAGTCCAGTATTTACACGCTCTTGAAATGACTTTGTATACCCGTATCATTGCACTTGTGACACATAAACCTTATTTTAAATACCATCATATTAAATAAATTTAATGAATTTTATTTTATTTAGATAGACCTAATATTTGAGAAACATTATATCATTCTGAATTTAACTGTGAAAATAATAAAGAATATAATATATATGATCAAACATAATGTAAAGCGGTAAAACCTCAAGGTCACCACATCATTCATGTTACAAATTTGATAATCTATTTAAACCGTATGTGACCTCAAATGTGACCTAATATTTATCCCCGAGTATATAATGTCATGAAGAAAAAATACCAACCATATTACCTCTTGTTCTTCAATCGAGTCACATCATGAAAACAATGAAGGTCGTACCCGTGGTAAACGATGCTGAAAAGTGGCAAAGAATAATAAAAGCAGGAAGGAGCAATCAAAAGGGATTTGGAGGTAAACGAATGAGATTGATAGCTGTCAATACCATTAAAGAACCAATACAGGTGGTATCTCCCATGCAAGCAGTGGAAGATAGAGCTAAAGCCCAGATTGAGCGTCGAAAGAAATATGTTGAAGAACATAATCTGCATGGTCCAAAGGTATACAAACATAAACATAGGGATGATGATGATGATGATGATGATGATGATGATGATGATGATGATGATGATGATGATGATGATGATGATGATGATGATAACGTCAAGGCTAAGTTAAAAAAGAAGAAAATTAAAAGGGCCTTGTATAGACCATACAATATTCCCAAAAATAACAAATAAACAATAATCAATGATATACACGACATTTCCTCTTCTTCTTCTTTCATATACAGAGTACTTTGAGAACCCATACAGAACCCCAGGAGAATCCGTTCAGAACCCTGAGAGAACCCCAGGAGAATCCATTCAGAACCCCAGGAGAACCCATACAAAACCCTATGAGAATCCATTCAGAATTCCAGGAGAATCCATTCAGAATCCCAGGAGAATCCATTCAGAATCCCAGGAGAATCCATTCAGAATCCCAGGAGAATCCATTCAGAATCCCAGGAGAATCCATTCAGAATCCCAGGAGAATCCATAGAGAACCCATAGAGAACCCCAGGAGAATCCATAGAGAACCCCAGGAGAATCCATACAAAAGTCATACAGAACAACTGGCGAATTCGAATAGAACCACAATAGAATCCATATAGAACTAACGTGAAGGCCTCTTGAGGACATTTTCAGAACCCACTTGTTTAGAAGAAGCTATAAAATACAGTGACACTTTCATTTCCATCACTATAAAAAGCTCATTTGATCACGCAACATATCATGCCGTATATGAATCGTAAATCCTGTCCCATTTGCGGAAAAGGGAATTTAAAAACGATTAACACACATCTCAGTCAAGTACATAAACTTAACAGTGCTGAACGGCAACTCTGGTTAAAGAAAGCTAAATGTAGCAGTTGGCTCACGGAGTTTGGAGAATGTCGCCTCTCATATACTGAACAAATGTTTCAACATACCGTTAGTCATAAACCCAAACAAAGAAAAACTTCAGCTGTCAAACAAACGAATAACATTTCGTTAAAGTCTTACTTGCCCAATGTTATGACTACTGAACCTTATCCAGAGTTTAGGTTTCGTCACAAGTTCTCCATGTTAGTCATAGCACCAACACAGAGTGGCAAAACATATTTTGTAAGGCAATTACTGGAGATGGATCATATCAACTACGACAATCACAAAAGGAGACGAATCATGTGGTATTATGGTCAATATCAAGACGTTTACAAGGATATGAAAAGAAGCCTTAAAAGAGATATACATTTCATCGAAGGACTACCTGATTACGAGGATAATCTGTCAAATTTGGATGATTCATACAACAATATCATCGTTTTAGATGATTTGATGGATCTAGCGAAGGATTCCACCATTGTATCTAAGCTATTTACTCAAGGAAGACATAGAAATACCAGTGTTATCCTCCTGCTTCAAAATGCTTTTCCTAAGGGAAAGTGCAACACGGAAATATCCAGAAATGCTCAGTATGTGGTCCTTTGGAAATGTCCCTCAGACAGGAGACAAATTGGTATGCTGGCAGACAGAATATTTGAGAAAAATAAGGACAGATTTATGGAGGTGTAAAATAAGGTTACAGCAAAGCCATATCAATATGTGCTGGTAGATTGTAAGCCAGATACTCATTCAAGTAAACAATTGATCGCCGACGTGTTTGGAGCATGTATATATTTTCCGAATATTTATACATCTGTCACTGCTACGAACCGCAGAAAAGTGATTGAGGGGCGAGAACCTCTTGCACAGTCTAGTTTAACACACATCAATTCAAGTATAAATGACATACTGAGAGATACAGAAGAGGAAGGTCCGATAGTTATACATCTATCTAGCCAGGAATGGTCTCAGGTGATCACACAATTCAAAATGGCGGATGGTAGCTACAATGTCGATCCTGGATGGAAAATATGGAGGATTTATCTTTCTCAACACAACCGTGACACTCATAGTATACCAGTGTTGTTGAAAGGTTATGGACCACATTCTGAAACAAAATTGTATCACGTCGATTTGGATTGGCTAAAATATTCTTGTCACACTGTGAAACATTTATTGTGAATATGATTTGTCATAGGCAAATGATTTATTCTGTGAAAGAAAGGCCGAAAAACAGACTGTAGTACATAGATGAACATGTTTATTGATTTTAAAAGTTGTAATAAATACATCCATACGCAATATATGAAATTAGTTGTTTGTGCGTGGAAACTTGAAAAATATAGTGAGACTAGTACTACATGCACCTTAACGCCAAGACAGTTTACCTTTTCTGAAACAGGCAAAAGGCTTATATTTATTGAATACATTTTCCATAGACCTCATATTGTGCATACTATCTAAAATTTCTTGAACAAGTTCACTAAACAAATGTGAACCCATGATTAAGTGATATAGCGACCTTTAAAGTTTCCTGCTTCACATGCTAAATAAAACAAAGCCAGATATCTTTACTAATACAGCTGACTTGTAATATAATCCCAAATATAATTACACTGATTTATCTCGTCTGCCCCAGAACTTAACCACAGCCAACTTGTCAACATCTGGTTTCTATTAGATTGTATTGTATTGTATCGTATAGCGGTACAAGACACGTTGAACTATGAATTAGTTGTGAATGTGTATAACAACAAAATGGACTCTTGAAATGAACAGTATTTAGGATCATGTTAGATATAGCACGACCTGGTAAGTTTAATTTAAAGAACATTTTTATTATACTGTCATCACGATTTAAATCAGTTCTAACCAGATGGTGAGGGAAATCTCATCGATGAGGCAACGTTGAAACGTTCTGAAATCGTCTAAACGTTCGAAAAACGTTGGTATCAACTCTGACGGCACGAAAACGTTCGGAAATTCCATCGATGACGTAGTTGATGTTCAACGTATTTCAATCGATATATCCGATGGCTCTCCTAAATCAATCTAAAATCATCCTGCTATTTGTAAAGAAATGACAATTGTATGGCTTGTTATCATACTTCGACCTACCAACGTTATAGTCCTGGAACATTGGATAATGTCTGGCTTCTGGAAAAGTCAACCTCGATGTCAATCCGGACGTCGACCTTACGTTTGCGGGGGTGTGGAATTCGAGTCCTATAGGACTGGTTTAATAAAAGGGGATTACCCTGTTTTCTAGGTGGGAATTCCCTGAATGACGCAGTAGATGAAAAATGGGGAATACCCGTTTTGCACCCCCTACACATCGATGAACCCCCTTCCATAGGGATACGTGTTAAAGATATTTGAAACTCTCTAAATGACAACTACTAACGTAATCGAACGCTTCATAAGTTATACGTTATACGGGAATGATAAACATTTTATAAGTGAGTTGCAAAATATCTCTAACCCCCCTATCACACCAGATTAGTTCTTATCGGTTCTTGCCAGTCCCACGAAAACGTCGTAAAACGGGCTCAATCTGACTGTGGTCGGGAAGTATGTCTAAAATAATTAGCTACTTCGTCCATAAACAGTCTTCAATACGTCCATCTCATTCGCAGTTCGTACAGGTCGCACCACGTCGGTGTGGAACGTCGTATAACGCGTCCCTTACCCCCCTATCACACCAAACTCGTTCTTACCCGTTCTTGCCAGTCCTACGAAAACGTCGTAAAACGGGCTCAATCTGGCTGTGGTCGGGAAATATGTCTGAAATAATTAGCTTCTTCGTTCTTAAACAGTCTTCAATACGTCCATCTCGTTCACAGTTCGTTCAGGTCGCACCACGTCGGTGTGCAACGCCGTAGAACGTGTCCCTTAGTCTAGAAGGTCATCATGACCTAATAACAGAACGGTATGGTCGCAATCGAATTTTGAATCGATTCAAAATTCTAAAATCACATTCCCGTCTGAGAACGTTCATAAAGTTCGTAAATAGACCTGAGAAAGTTGCAGCTACGTTCATTCCGTTCGCACACAGTTTAGAACCAGTTTTGAAGAACGCAGTGGCAACTTGCTTGGTGTGATAGCTATATTTTTGCTAACTCGTTCATAAGCAGTGTTAAATACGTTCTTAATCAGTTTAAACCCGTTTGCAATGAGTTCTACCTCGTTCTCAACACGTCCTCAGACAGTTCAACTCGTTGTTAAAACGTCCCTGGTAGGATTGAAGTACGACGGTTCCGTTCGTAGTACGTCCAGCTCGTCGTTAGTACGTTGTCACTCGTTTTAATTGTAGAACGTGACGACCACGAGAACATTTTGAGCATTGTCTAAGTTCTAGAGGACCTACCCGTTCGAATACGTTCGATGAAGTTTGTAAATAGATCCCAAACGGTTCTTAGTACGTCCAGTCCGTTCGTACACAGTTGAAGCCCGTTTTCGAGAACGTAGTGAGAACTAGTTTGGTGTGATAGTAGGGTTAGTCTAGAAGGTCATCATGATCTGATTACAGAACGGTATGGTCGCCATCAACAAAATTCTAAATTCACCTTCCCGTTTGAGAACGTTCATGAAGTTCGTAAATAGTCCTTAGAAAGTTGCAGCTACGTCCATTCCGTTCGCACACAGTTTAAAACCAGATTTGAAGAACGCAGTGGCATGGTGTGATAGCTATATTTTTGCTAACTCGTTCATAAGCAGTCTTTAATACGTTCTTAATCAGTTTAAACCCGTTTGCAATTAGTTCTACCTCGTTCTCAATACGTCCTCAGACATTTCAACTCGTTGTAAAAACGTCCCTAGTAGGATTGAAGTACGACGGTTCCGTTCGTTAGTACGTCCATGAGAGCATTTTGAGCAAGTTCTAAGTTCTAGAGGACCTACCCGTTCAAGAACGTTCGATGAAGTTTGTAAATAGACCCCAAACGGTTTAAGTACGTCCAGTTCGTTCGTACACAGTTGAAGCCCGTTTTCAAGAACGTAGTGAGAACTAGTTTGGTGTGATAGTATTGTTATATAAGTAGAATTAAAGCTTATGTCAAAGAATCTCTAATAATAAAATAAAATTTGCCTTGATCCGTATGTATTCTTTCTCGAACGCTGGCTCGCTTTTACTAATTCCGTGTCATTTTCAGGATACTTCATATCAGTATAGAATTTAGACTTAACATCTACCATATCTCCATCCCCAGGATCTGTAATACGTATCGTAGATAATTTGTGCAAGAAAAATACATTGATGCCTAGCCTTTTTTTTATTTTTGAAGGGGACGCTGTAACCAACTTGTTTTCGGATCAACATCACAAGGTTATTTGTATGTGAACAATATTAAATATTATTATGCACCTCATTAAAATACTCAAATCTGATTGGTTAAGAGCTGCAGGGTCTATTGCCATACGTGGCAGCAAGATCTCGTTCTATCCAGTATTGAAGCAACGAGATCTCCAACCATCCCGTATGCCAAAATACCTATCCTCGAAAAAAATACTTTCGACGAGTCCATTTGTCGATGACGTCATTTTCTTAGAATTTCTTCCATGTTGAATTTGAGACGAATGCAAGGGAGAAATGATTGATATGAGAGAAGGGGATTTCTATTCAATTTCCTGTGATTAACTGACTAAGGGTAGGTGGCGCTAGATAAGGCATCGGCCAAACTTATTATATAGGCCTATGGAGGGAATAGCCAAATGAGAGAATAAATGGAATTTTTGATTGTCGAACACCATGGTTTTTACAGTATTTAAGCTTCGTTAGGCTCGGCTTCTAGACCCATTCTTTAAAATAAAGTATTTCTCAAGGGAGATGCATAATAAAATAAATACTGGATGACCATGAGGTGGATATGCCAGAATACCTATCCTCGAAAAGAAATACTATAGGATAGGTATTCTGGCATATCCACCTCATTGTCATCCAGTATTTGTTTATTATTGGATATATAGGCTAGATATATATATATAGATCACCTTTACAACTGTCGCAAAGCAAGGTGTTTTCATCCACGCTTCGCCCACCACATCGCCAATCATCCACTGTCGTTCCTTCTTTGATGCATTTTCTCGTTCGTCGTCCAGGTATGCATTCATTAGCACTACATCCGGACCAGGCCCCCCATGCACTCCATTCCGGTGGTTTAACATCAGCATCATCTATCATGTAGATTTCAAAAGGGGAGATGTGTAAAATACAAGGCGTCCATGAAGTATCTTTCCGAGGGTATCTTTACAATTGCAATACAGAGGCTGCGTAAATTTTAAAAATACGTTATGGACATCCTGTATTATGTCCGGTGTAAAGGATTTGTATCGATATGGCGAACTGAATCCAACAATGTTAGTCAAAACATTCTGTAAAAACGACCCTTTATGTAATGGTCACTGATTGGCAACAATTTAATGCGAAAATTATAAATAATATTTCATATAACTGTTGTGAACAATTTTTGTTTTTTAGTGCAATTGTTTTTTGTTCCTTTCTACCAATGAAAGAATCGAGAATGAAATAAAGTATCTTTATAATAAACTTAAAAATAAACCGTTCATTTATTCACACGATACTTTTTTTTAAATGAATCAAATTTTCCTTTGTACTATTACAATATTGAGAGACCAATATAAACACGTTGTGTATATGTCATTTTGTTTCAATGAGGTTCGGATAAATGTTTCATTTCATTCCGAACATATGATACCGAGAACAAAAGAAGTGACTGATGTGTTTTCTAAAACAAAAAAGAGAAAAGCGTGTATGTATTTTTTCAAATTAAATTGTTACCATTCAAATGATAATTATGAAATTGACGATGTGTAAAAGGAGGAGAGAAAGTATCGCAACAGATTTCGGACCGTCATATGTCGCGATCGGATTTCGGCTATTTTCTAAGGATTTCAACAGGTGCATATGTTAGACAAATGCATTCCATCAAGGAAAAGCACTCATAGGGATGATAAAATAATTTCGACTTTGAGAGAGGGAAGATGCAAACAACCCACCCACATGTTTTTCTGGGATTTTGTCCTGATTTCCAATCCTGCTTTAAGATACAGTAATAAGTAATTCATTCAGGGGTTTTAAAGATACCAATTATGGGTGACCAAAATTAAGCTGAAAGCAATGGATCGCATGAGTTTTCCCTATGGGAAAATAACATGGGAAATATTCTTTGATCAAAAAGGAATTACTTATTCCTTTAAAGGGGTTAACTGCGTCTCAAAACAAAAATTGAAAAAGCAGGGGTGGAAGGGGTTGAAAATCAGGACAACATTTCGGGAAAAACATGTGGATGGGTTGTTTGCATCGTCCCTGTCTCAACGTCGAAATTATTTTATCATCTCTATGAGTGCCTTTCCCGGAGGTAATGGATTAATCCAACATGCACCTGTTTAAAACCTCAGGAAATAGCCAAAATCCAACATAAGCTTTTTAAGTTTTAAGTTTCATCAGTTTATTTCCTCATCGAACATATGACCGTGCGAAATCTGTTGCAATACTTTCCCTCCTTCTTTTCGGAATATTTTCATGACTGGTTAAGATGAACATGTGTTCAATTCAGTTCGCCATATCGATACCAATCCTATGCGTTCGAATACGTTTATGGTGACATTATTCCGCGTTTTAATCATATATAGTTCGGGCAAGGGACACTAGATAGCTAGATTATCAAAATATTACATCGGACATTAAAAACAATACGTGGCTATATACAGTCCAAGACTGGTCGTGCTTCTGTTTTAATTACATGTTGTAACTTACTAAAGAGACAAATTTTCCAATCGATCTCAAATTCGCTACATTCGTTGACATTTGAACATAATTTTTCTTCAACCACGTTTTCTCCCTCCATACAATATCGTCTGCGCAATTTGAAGGAATGCTCCAAATCTGACGAAGTCATGCATTCGCTCCATCGACTCCATGCTGACCATCCTGGATTGAATTTCTCAAAATGACACAATAATACCATCACTGGTAGGGATCAAACAACACTCTCCGATAAAATCCGGTAAAAATCGCACTCTAGGGTAAAATATCACAATTAACAAAAAGTCATATATCATATCTGTGTATGATCTATTAAGTCGGATCACATATTTAAGTACCCTATTCACGCATGGCTGACGTCACCTTATCTCAAGTTTGAATATGTGTGCAGTCGACCGAACAACCTAGACATATGTAAATATTCAAAAAGACAAATGATGTGAAACAAATTCCGCTAGCTGAATATGCTAACAAGAATAGGCTACTGTACGTCGATGGACTTAAAATAATTTGCCAACATTTCAAGATATTTTTCCCGATCCTGGGCATATTACCGGAAAGTGTTGATTGATCCCAATCTGTGACCATGTGGCATTCAATTATGTAATATATTATAAGTATTCTTGTTTAGCACTTTTCTAAAGAAATCATAAACCGTGTGTTTATGTTAAAACATGATTTAGATTCAAATTCAAATTTATTGTACAAGGGAAAACATTATTTTATAATTATATTCCATAAGATACAGATTATGGTATATGAGCATCAACATAGAAAAGGGGGTCTTATGAATTCTTTTTTCAATTTTTAAAAAGCACAAAGAGACCTTTTAAATGAGCCATGGCTTGAGTCGTAACAGTTTTTTCTTGCAGAAGACCAAAAAGACGGATTTAAATTCAGCACATTTTCCTCTTAATGTTTGAAATTTTTGGCTCTGTAGCATACACAATTTTAACTGTTGTGATAAGACCGGTGTCAATTACGAAAATATAGCGATATAGGTCAAAAAAGTTCCAACGTGAGCATGTTTTATACGCGTGTGCCTATCATCTCAGAATTTAGCAAATGGTAGAAAACGCGAGTTATAATAAATGGACACTGATATCTCAAAAGGTAACCTGACTCCCTATAATTTGAAGTGGATCAATCGAACCTCTATATGAACAGGTACATTTTGATATATAACACTATGGGGGTAAGCGTTTCATAGTTGGTCACGAACGCCATATGTGCGATGTATTGTTCAGTATATTTTCGAATTTCGTGTTGGATTACGGTACTCCCACCTTGAGAGAAAAGTGAAGCATAGAAGCAAGAAAATAAATGTAGGATTTCAGTTTTTTTTGCTCAAAACTGTCCAAGTCTAGATCATTAATTAGAATAGGTAGGGTGAGTGTTATGACTGGTGAATATGTGAAACTCGCCAATCACAACCAGGATTTCAACAAAACATTAGTAGAGGGGGTAGTTTTCCGAACTTTTTGAATAGAGTCTACATACTATAGTTCTGCGCTTTCACGATGTTCACTCCAAAAAAGCCCAAGAAACATAGCACGTAAATGGTCAACTTTGCATTCGTTGTCATCGTTTAGATCCTGAAACATGCAATAATACCTTTAATCGACTTAAATAGTACTCTTCATCTAAAGTTTTTTTTTATATTCAAAGGAATAGTAGAGACTGAGGATTCCACCATGAGTATCACCCTTTGCGTTAAGGTTCATCCACACGTTCACATTCACATTCACTTGCACGTGAATGGGAGTTGCCATTCCCTCTCAATAACTATTCCCCCTATACCAACTCAATTAGACAAGTACGTATTAAGTAATACTAAGGGAAAACAAATTCCCATGGCCAGAGGACCATTATTTGCCATTATCTAGAAAATAGAGAGTTTAATGCCTAGGTCACATAGGCGCCGGGCGCTGGCCGATGAGTAGTCATTGGCCGATTTCTAAATCGACCGGGCGCCGGTGACTTTTCACCGATGTCTTGATCTAATCGTGAGTATGGTCACATTAGTACAGACATCGTACGGCGCACGCAATCAATTGAATCTGAAAGACATCGCACGGGTATCGCAAGGCTATCTGCCGATGGCTGTACGGCACCCGCCAGGACATCGGTCGATCTACAGGCCTCTAGATTTATACTAAATTCCTGTATGACCCAGTATGATTGTTCCACAAATGCACCATTTGAAAACGAACTACTTTGATAGACAGGAGTTCCAGGATAATAATGTTTTCATGCAAAAAATCAGAAAAAGAAGATCCTGTTTGAGTAAATAGGTTCAATATTTATAAAAAAAAAGGTTGACATGAAGTTCCAATTCATAACTTTTCGAATTTTTTGATTGATATTTTTTTCATCATGGGTACTTCAGTTGAAAGAAAACATATTGTTTTAATAAAAACACCGTATTTATGCCCAGAAAGTACCCATGGTGAAAGATATGACCGTCTAATCACTTGCCATACCGCGTGGTCTTTTCATCAAATAGCACCCTGACTTTAATTCATTTTTAGATCTTTCATATAAACAAATACTATGTCTTCCTGTCCATCCGACGCTATTAGCAAAATTCCCTATTCCTGCATCTTTCCTTTGCCTGTTCTTGTAAAGAGAATTAGTTTGGGCTTTTAGGCTGAATTATGCCTGCCATTAACAGAGGTCAAAAAATTACCAAATAATAAAATCCCATTTTTTCACAATTTGGAGTACACAACGCAACAGAAAATAATACAAAATGATTTAACATATATGATTTAGTTTTCCAAGCTAGAAGTTTGAGGTTATTTTTCTTATCAATACCAAAAAATTATGTAATCAGTGTATCGACCTTTTGTATTGTTTCTCAGGTATTAATAAGATAAATGCAACAAATTAATCACTTTTATATTAGAATGACAAATGCTTAAATTATGCTAGTTTTTCACAAAATGTGTCTCAATACGTTTTGAGATATGGACTCTTATTCCGCAGTGAACATGATCAATAAAGGAGTGTTTATTGCTCTTCCTTGACTAATTGGGACTACAGCTAAAATTCTATTTCTCGTAGTTAGGTATAGCTCAGTTGCTTATAAATCAACCAATAAGACTTGGTCGAATTCATGAATATTTGAAAAAATCGTTGTCATTATCTTCCTAAAACTTGATGATATCCAGCGGTAAGGTCAAATGGAAAAATTCTGGTAATAAAATGTTTTAAATGGTAAGAAAACTAATATGTTCCACAGTATAAATTACCTAAATATTTCACACAAATTTGTTGAATCTGCTTGGCTCATATTTGAAAAATCAAGCAAAATCTGAAAAACACACTTGCGTAATTGCACTAATTAAGCACGGACATCTACAGTAAAATTATAGTATATTTGCACATTATCATAATCTAATTTTTGTTCGTATGCTTAGAATAACGGTCTGTCTCTAATAAAACATATAAAAGTTCGAATCAAAATATTTACGTTTTTTGACCCCTTGTGATGAAATACATTTTTCGACCTGAAAGCCGGAAGTTTTTTCAGCAAATGGTATTTTAAAAGAATCAAGACATATGCACCTGTATAAATATTGCTTCAAATGTTGCTGCACTATAGTGTGCTACGGATCCTTCATATTCGGAAGTCATACCATGGACTATAACAATTTATCACTCTTTTCAATGAGCGACAGACATACACGATTAATGTCAATAAAAGAACGTCTAGATCAACCCAGCCACCCAGCCATTCAAACGTGTGTCATTGTTTTACAGTAAGCTTAATCGTTCTATTTATGTTTTATAAAAAATCTCTGACAGTGTGTAGTAATTATAATTCCTTACCTCATTATTTTTAAAACCTTTATATCACTTTATAAGTAATCATTATTAAGATTTATCAAACAAATCAGCACGCAAAATTCCAAGATGACCATGCGATGCCACCGGGCGCCACAAGATAATCGTACGATGACCGGACGTACGGGACACGGCCGGGTAGGTACCGATGAGTTTGGTTGAGAAAAACCCGCCAAGACATCGGCAACTTTTATCTCCGCTATAAAACTTTGCCGGCGCCCGTACGATGACCGGGCTCGCCAGGCGATTTTGAACAAAATACTCATCGGCCGGGCGCCGTAGTGAAAATCGGAGGCTATATGACCAAGGCATTAGCTAGCGATATTTTATGCCTTGGTCACATATGCCCCGATCCATCGGCCGGCGCCCGGCCGATTGAGTGTTTTGTTCAATATTGTATTCAATTTTGAACAAAATACGCAATCGGCCGGGCGCCATAGTGAAAATCGGAGCAAATGTGACCAAGGCATTACACAAAGTAACCGTGTACTCAAAGCCAATGAATCAATACTATATATAAGTTATTGAATGATTGAAGTTAAATAATATCCCTAGACGACCTTACGATACCACTGGGAGTCGAAAGATAATAGTGCGATTACCGTATGGGACACGTCGGGGTAGGTACCGATGAGTTTGGTTGGGAAAAAATCGCAAAAACATCAGCAACTTTTATCTCCGCGATAAAACTCTGCCGGCGCCCGGGCGATGTCTAAAAATCGGCCGATGGTGCTCGATCATCGGCCAGCGCCCGTACGGATACCAGGTGTAAAAGGGTAGGAGGTCCTATCAGTTTATGGTCCTACTCTCTATTGATTTAAATGGTGACCTCTTTCCCTTATTATCTTATACAAAATCAGGGCCAGTAAGGGCCGTTAAGAAGGGGGACCATAATCCCTGGGGGACCATAATTTCTTTCACACCGGGCTCGCCGGCCTTTTTTGAACAAAATTCTCATCGGCTGGGCGCCGTTGTGAAAATCGGAGCCTATGTGACCAAGGCATAAGTTGTATTTTTTGCAAGAACTCGGACTCCTGTCCATCCGACGCTATTAGCAAAATTCCCTATTCCTGCATCTTTCCTTTGCCTGTTCTTGTAAAGAGAATTAGTTTGGGCATAAAAATATGGCTATCTTCAAAGAAATTGGCAAATTTTTTCGATTTCAAGTGGAGTACCCTCTTCCCTAGACACATCTAAATCTTCATCATCCACCAGCTCACTAGCATTGTTATTGTCTTTTTCCACCTGTCTTCCCAAGGTCCTCCTCATATATGGCCCATTGGCCTTATCCCCTCTATCCTAAAGCCTTGGCATATTACCATTGTAATTGAGACAGTGAACTTTCGTAGTAAAATTGTGACCCTTGAAAATATTGTACTCAAATAAACATTCAGAAAGTTTTTAGAATAAATGATTTGTAATGGTTTATTCACGAGTGAATATACGCATAATAGTCCATGGTATGAAATATCTAGGACGTCTAATAAAGGAGCTGGTAGCACACTATAGCGCAGCGATATTTGACCTAATATTAACATACCTACATATGTTCGCTAATAATTTTTATTATTACCGTTTCATATACTTCCGGCTTTTAGGCTGAATTATGCCTGCCATTAACAGAGGTCAAAAAATTACCAAATAATAAAATCCCATTTTTTCACAATTTGGAGTACACAACGCAACAGAAAATAATACAAAATGATTTAACATATATGATTTAGTTTTCCAAGCTAGAAGTTTGAGGTTATTTTTCTTATCAATACCAAAAAATTATGTAATCAGTGTATCGACCTTTTGTATTGTTTCTCAGGTATTAATAAGATAAATGCAACAAATTAATCACTTTTATATTAGAATGACAAATGCTTAAATTATGCTAGTTTTTCACAAAATGTGTCTCAATACGTTTTGAGATATGGACTCTTATTCCGCAGTGAACATGATCAATAAAGGAGTGTTTATTGCTCTTCCTAGACTAATTGGGACTACAGCTAAAATTCTATTTCTCGTAGTTAGGTATAGCTCAGTTGCTTATAAATCAACCAATAAGACTTGGTCGAATTCATGAATATTTGAAAAAATCGTTGTCATTATCTTCCTAAAACTTGATGATATCCAGCGGTAAGGTCAAATGGAAAAATTCTGGTAATAAAATGTTTTAAATGGTAAGAAAACTAATATGTTCCACAGTATAAATTACCTAAATATTTCACACAAATTTGTTGAATCTGCTTGGCTCATATTTGAAAAATCAAGCAAAATCTGAAAAACACACTTGCGTAATTGCACTAATTAAGCACGGACATCTACAGTAAAATTATAGTATATTTGCACATTATCATAATCTAATTTTTGTTCGTATGCTTAGAATAACGGTCTGTCTCTAATAAAACATATAAAAGTTCGAATCAAAATATTTACGTTTTTTGACCCCTTGTGATGAAATACATTTTTCGACCTGAAAGCCGGAAGTTTTTTCAGCAAATGGTATTTTAAAAGAATCAAGACATATGCACCTGTATAAATATTGCTTCAAATGTTGCTGCACTATAGTGTGCTACGGATCCTTCATATTCGGAAGTCATACCATGGACTATAACAATTTATCACTCTTTTCAATGAGTGACAGACATACACGATTAATGTCAATAAAAGAACGTCTAGATCAACCCAGCCACCCAGCCATTCAAACGTGTGTCATTGTTTTACAGTAAGCTTAATCGTTCTATTTATGTTTTATAAA